GTCCGGCACTCCTTGGAGGAATAAATCTAGTTTCCTCTTGAAAATGTCCACGGTTGTTCCGGCAATATTTCTTATGCTTGCTGGGAGGACGTTGAACAACTGCGGACCTCTGATGTTTATACAGTGTTCTCTGATTGTGCCTATGGCACCTAAGCTCTTCACTGGTTCTATTCTACATTTTCTTCCATATCGTTCACTCCAGTACGTTGTTATTTTTCTGTGTAGATTTGGTACTTATCCCTCCAGTATCTTCCAGGTGTATATTACTTGATCTCTCTCTCGTCTTCTTTCTAGTGAGTACATTTGGAGGGCTTTGAGACGCTCCCAATAATTTAGGTGCTTTATTGCGTCTATGCGTGCCGTATATGTTCTCTGTATTCCCTCTATTTCAGCAATCTCTCCTGCTTTGAAGGGGGAAGTGAGTACTGAGCAGTACTCAAGACGGGACAACACAAGTGCCTTGAAGAGTACAACCATTGTGATGGGATCCCTGGATTTGAAAGTTCTCGTAATCCATCCTATCATTTTTCTGGCTGTCGCAATATTTGATTGGTTATGCTCCTTAAACGTTAGGTCATCAGACATTATTATTCCCAAATCCTTGACATGCTGTTTTCCTACTATGGGTACATTTGATTGTGTTTTGTACTCTGTATTATGTTTAAGGTCCTCATTTTTACCGTACCTGAGTACCTGGAATTTATCACTGTTAAACATCATGTTATTTTCTGATGCCCAGTCGAAAACTTTATTAATATCAGCTTGAAGTTTTTCAATGTCTTCAGCCGAGGTAATTTTCATACTGATTTTTGTGTCATCTGCAAAGGATGATACAAAGCTGTGACTTGTATTTTTGTCTATATCTGATATGAGAATAAGGAACAGCAGCGGTGCAAGGACTGTACCCTGAGGTACAGAGCTTTTAACTGCACTTGGACTAGATTTTATATGGTTGACTGTTACTCGCCGAGTCCTGTTTGACAGAAAACCGAGTATCCAGCGTCCTACTTTATCCTGTTCATCCTCCAAAATCCCTGCGCCTGAATATCAGCCCAGGACATATTGCTAAATATGGCAGCCAATGCAGTAAACGTCCTAACGTTATGGGCGCGAGGATAGACAGCAGGCTGGCTAGACTTAATAAACCTGCGGACGACCTGAGAGACCCGAGCCCTGGAACAAGGAATGAAGAAAACAGGATCAACCCAAAGGCATCCCCAACCACTGAAGTTGAAGAGCACAGATAACAGTGAAGAGCTGCAACTGGACAACACATGATGCACCCCCGGCCTGACCAACCAAGCATCAATGACCCAAGAACCCCTCCGGAAAGCAGCCATCTCGTTCTTCGTCAGAAAAGAAGGAGAAGGGTGCAACCGAACAAGCTGACCACCAGGACCGAAAGAGCAGAAACTACTGCACCAGAGGAGAGCATGAAGCTCACCGACCCGACCACCAGAGGCCAATGCCAACAGAAACAAAGCCTTGGAAAAACAATCTTGAACCAAACGGGGCCACCACAAACCAAGGAGAGGAAAGATAGGAGAGCACCCTGTCCATGACCAGGACGGTTCATGCGGCGCATGAGCAGGCTGGAGGCGAAATAAAGCACGAGAAAGCTTACAGAATGGGGCAGAAGTGACATCCACCTCAAACGCAAGCTGGAGCGGCTCCACCAGCACCACACGATACAGTATAAGGTGACAGTATTAGGCATCAAATGACGATCCTGAAAAATATAAGACAGAAAGGGCAAGACAACCTGATTAGAAATAGAAGACAAATTATGAAGAGAGAGAAAATGGCAGAAAAATGGCAGGAAACTTCAACGAAGGGACACCATCAACAAAGCCACCTGATCACCATACAGATGCCGATAAACCCGTCAAAAAGACCAGATGCAAAAAGCGGAGAAGACCGAACCAGCCGTGTACTGGATTGGTCAGACCTGCTGGAAGAGGCAGAGTTGCAGAAAGCCGCGCCGAACTAAGACTGGGCCGGCCACCATGGGGCCATAAGGACTACTCTCCCTTGGTATGACTCCAACCGAGTCAGAACCCAAACTAATAGCTTGACCGGGAGAAAGAGGTACAGGTAACTCACCTTGACTAGTCCTGCCGAAAGGCATCCACCACAACAGTCCCGTAGTTGGGGAAGAGCTCCACACATATCGGTAGATGTCTCGACCACGCCGACGCAAAGAGGTCCCCTTCCAGAAGGCCATACATCTGGCAGAGCCAACTGAAGGAGTCGGTATCGACCATCCATTTCGTGGACATGGGAATGAACCGAGACTGGCCGCTGCTAGGATATTGGACTCCACTAAGGCAAAACACTGCTAGGAATCCGAGGCAAAAGTTGACGACCGCCCCAGATCGCATTAGCCAACGAACTGGAGTTGCTGGGTTGCCAGCATTGGGGGTCCGGGGCTCCCCCTCCCCCTCCTGGGGAGGGGAGGGGAGGGTCGCACAGATGAGCACTGCGGCATGGTGTGACGTTTGCTTGTTTGCTTGTTTCCTTGGGATTTGAGGCAATTCTACCTCTTCGGTTTTCGATTGCAATATTCTTATCATGTAGGGTCTGTTTTGTTATCCCTACCTTTCTGGGTGCCTAACCCCAGTCTTTGGCAGATAAGAAAAAACTCAACCACCGGGGGGGGGTTTCCAGGGACCATTGCTCCCTGTGCCTCTCTGAGGGAGGCCTGGATCTGGTCCCAGGTAGGCTGAACTCCATTGACTGATGCCCTGGTCTAATGTATCACATATTAGCCTGATAGCTCAAAGAAGCCGGAAGAGCTCTCCACAGAAAAAACGAAACCTCACAACTAGCCAACTAGCAGCTGGAGTAAAACATCGGTCACCGCGTGATAGCAAATGCAGGCTGCGCCCCACCAGCAAACATTCCCCTACCCGGGGCAAGACGGAAAACCCAAGACCACCGGTCTACCCAAAGGGTGAGGACAACCACAAGTTAGGAAAGGAAGCCTCCTAAGGGGAAGTGATTCCCAAATACCCCAGGGAAAGATAAATTTGACCACGCAACGGCAGTACTCACGGAGCACCTACGGAAGGTGGCTCTAGACACATGCAGCTCCGATACCATGAACTCTAAGCAGGCACACTTGACAAGTGTAGGAACAGCCATTGAGGCAAAAATGCAGAACAGAAATTGCGGCCCGAGTGACGTTTGACCGCCAAGCACATCATTCAAAAACTTGATTGGTGGGTTGCTGGCTCCCCCTCCCCTCATGGTGGGGAAGGGGGTAGCGCTAATGAACGGGGGTTTAGTTGGATGAAGTGTTGCGTGTTTGTTTTCTTTCTGGGAGTTCTCTTGCTCTTTTGAGGACATACAGAAGCTCACTATTTTCAACCAGGCAGTGGTCTGTTTTGATTCATCTACCTTTCTGGGTGCCCTTCGTTGTTGATGGCATGTATGACATACAGTGGCACCTCGATTAACGAGCGGCTCTCTATCTACGAGCATTTCGAGTAACAAGCAAGCCACTCGCAGCAAATTTGTCTCTGTTGATGAGCTTCACCTCTTAACGAGCAAAACCACATGGTACTTCCTAGCGTCTCGCGGGTTCTCGCAAATTCTCGGATGCCTCCGACACCAGTGTTGTTGTTGTTGTATTATGCACGACAAGCATCCCTCTGTGTTTAGTTGCACTTTTCTTTGGATTTTTGTGGTTTTGTGACTACAATTTGTAATGCACGACGTCACCAAAGAACCTACTTGCTAAAGATTGTGTTGTCAAGAGGAAGAAAGACAATTACTGTGGATTTGAAGAAGGAAATTATAGCAAAGCATGAGCGTGGTGTCCGTGTGACTGATCTCACAAGGGAGTATAGCAGGTCCTCATCAACAATTTACACCATTAGTAAGGGGAGGAGGAGGAGGTAAGGGAGGATGCTGCCTTTTCCAGTGAGATTAGGGAAGTGTTGGGAATGTTTGAAAAGGTGACCACATTCTTGGAAAAGCATCAACCTGATAAAGCAGTGACAACATGGTGTGTGAACATGTTTAATGACAATTTGCCGTCTTGTTTTAGGGACATCCTAAAACAAAGACAAATGCAATTGTCAATAGACACGTTCTTTGCAAAAGTAGAGAAAAGACGAGCAAGTGATAGTGAACCACAACCCGGTCCCAGTGGGGTGAAATTTCCAAGAAGAGAGATCCTGCCTGACTCGGAGGTGGATTCTCCTTCCACTCCGTAACCCCTCTCCTCCTCCCCCACCTCCCCATCGTCTCCCTCATGACAGCAACGACTCTACATAAGGTAAACATGAAAACAGTACAACAAAACATTTACAATTACATGTGCAGTATTATATTTACATTATAAAATATCATACATGTATGGATGTTTTTGGGAGTGGAACGGATTAAATTTATTTCCTTTATTTTAAATGGGGAAATTTGTTTCTTAAGACGAGTTTTCCACATAACGAGCTCGGTGCCAGAACGGATTAAACTCGTTAATCGAGGTGCCACTGTACTTTAAATGTACAGTGCTCTAAGGCAATTGCTCTCTGTGCAATGGACCACTGTGCAGAACCTGAGGGGGCCAGGTTCTGGCTCTGGTCCATGGTAGGCAACAAGAACTGTGACTGATGACCCCAAATAGGATATCACTGGGATAGCTTCAGGGAGCTGACAGGGCTCTCCAAAGAAAACCCAATTTCCAAACAAGTATTTACCATACCTACATGTATGGCATGAAATTCACTTTCATGTTATATGTGGGTTGGGTTATTTATTTTTGCTACATTATTGGGACTCGTTACCATTATTATTCTCTGCTTAGTATTGCATCAGAGTTATCTGCATCCAGCCTCTGACACAGGTTGCAGAAGCCATGACAACAGAGCACAAACAGCACCAAAGAATTAGGGTGGAAAATTAAAAAATATATAATAACAAACTATTAAATTAAAAAGAGGAAGATGCAAGAGAGAGTTCTTGAAGCTGAAGCAAAAAACTTGCAGCCAACTTACCATGGCCCCATTAGAACGCAACTTAAGACTTTCTGCTTCAATCTTGAGAAGATTGCGGGGTCTTTTTGGGCTGCCATTCATTGGCACACAATGGAGGTTGGTTTGAGGTAAATCATGAGGTCTGTCAGTAACAAAACAAGAAGAAAAAAGAAATTATAAATTGTAAGTTCTTAACAGTTTATGAGCAATTCCTTAAAATGTTCAATTATGTACTCTCTTCATATAGCCATCTGTCTACCTATTTAATATACCAGATCTCACTTATACAAAACTTTCCATACAAACTTCACACTCCACAATCTATCACCCAAATAAATTAAGCACAGACCTGTATGACGGATGCTGACAGAGATATGGTGACAGAACAACTATTTCATATTCGCAGGTGTATGTCTCCTTTATGCTGTAGATCTCGTGTCGTCCCTCTTCATAACACACGAACAAAATGTGACTGAGACGAGGTTTTCCAGTGAGGTCACAGATGGTGCCGTGCGTGTAGTTCACCATAAAATACGGCATGTTAATCCCTTCTATTTTGGTAGTTGGAGTATCGGGGTTTGGATTTTCTTTAAGTTCCACTTCAAGTTGTGTCACTATAAATAAAATATTTTAACTACCTGTTTTCTATTAATAATGTTTTACAAATTTAGAACCTATTAATGCAATAAAATAAAAAGCCTTCCAGTGCTTTATACTGATAGGTATACAGGTATATATGGATAGGTATATTACCTCCACTGACAGGAAACTATCAGTGACCACAGAGGAGGGAGATCTAGCTCTTTATGCCCCGACTTCTGGCCATTTATACTGGAGTGTCTATTACCCCTCTAAATATTAATATTTTCATTATATTCCTTTTAAAGTTGTGGATGGAATTGGCTTCAACAACTTCCTCCTTCAATGCATTCCACTTTCCTACCACCTGTACATGGAACAAGAACTTCCTTATATCTTTGACTCCATTCTGTTGTGACTCAACTGCATGTCCAGCTTCTACCAATGTCCCCTCGTCCTACCTATTTTTAATTTAAATAAGACTTCCTTTATCTACTTTACCTTATTCCCTCAAAATCTTGAACATAGTTTTCATATCTCCCTCTGTTTCTTCTCTCCTCTAACCCTTAAACTGCTCATGGCGTACATATACGCCATGAGTAACATGTCCCACAGAGCGCATGGCGTATATATACGCCATAGGGTGCCAGGCACAATTCAAATGGCCGGCTGCTACACAGGGTTCACACTGGCTTCCTCAGGGCTCTTGTAAACAGACGCTATTTATTAAAAAAAAATCGTGGGCAATATTCTCAGGTGTGAGAGCCCCAGTACTGTTGGAGCGACCAAGGCTGGTGCATGCAGCATGGGCGAACAGCATTGCTGTTCAGCTTGTGACCACAGCATCGCCGAAAAATGTCAAAATAAATATATAATTGCTATTATTTAGCAATGACAATATTACAGATCAGCCCCTGACTGTGATAAAAATAACCAGGGTTGTGATAATAGCAGGATTGATGTAATAATTAGCGCTGTGGGAGGAGTGATGCTGAGAGACGGAGGGAGATAGCATCGTTTACTGACTGCGTGGCCACCTGTTATTGTCTACATTCACTATACCAGCTCAGTGGTTCTCTATGGTGAACACAAATGTAGATACTTGTATATAATGTGTGTATTAGTGTAATAACAGCAAAAGGATTATGCTGGGAGGAGCCATTTGGGTGACGGAGGTGACGTCGTCTGCATGATTTGTCTGGCTGTGTAGAGGGTGGCCACTATGCTCTTTGAGCACTCTACAAGCTTAGGTGTACAGTTACTGTGCATACAACATGTAGATACTTATATATAATATGTGTATATAGTGTAATAACACTGCAAACAGTATTGTTGGGGGAAAAAGTTTAGTGTGTGTGACCTTGAATGAGTAAGGGAGCTGCCAGCTGACTGTGTATAGCGACGACTCTTAGTGCCTGAACTAACTATATCAGCTTAGTTGTACAGTTGTGGTGAACAAAACATGTAGATTCTTATATATAATGTCTGTATATTGTGAATAAAATATAAAACAGGATGGTGGGAGGAAAAAGTGGGCGAGTGAGGCGTTGTTGAGGGAGTGGCAACGAGTGGCTGGCTGGTGTGTGGCGGTCACTCCTCGTTGCTTTTCGACTCTCAATACCAACTTAGTGGTTCGTTATGGTGAACAAAACATGCAGATACTTATATATAACCTGTGTATAGAGTGTAATAGCAGCAAAACTATTTGTTTATTGTTTTATGAACATAATAATTGAATCACTAATATGCACACCATACTTTTGAGTATAGCAATTATTCACCACTTTTATTATATAAATATATTACAATACACACTATTGAATAATATTACTGCAAAAAACTAAGAAAAAATCAGAGACATTGTGGCAACTCCCACCTGTCAGCTCGGGTGACGCTGACCGGCTCTGACGACCACTCTGTCAACGCCCACTTTTTGCCAGACTTCCTCAGTCTATTGCGCCCAAAATATGTCGCCTACGATTTTTTTTCCCATGCTCAGGGAACACAAATTAACATTTTTAGAAGACGAAATAATTTTTTAGAATTTTTTTTTCTTGCGCACAGGGGTGTAAATCTCCTCAGGACCCCTTAGCAGCTTAAGGGTTAAGGTTATGAGGACGAGTTCTCTCAAGCTCTCCTCATACTGAGACCTCTCAATTTTGGTACTAATCTACCTGCAAACCTCTGAACTTTCTCACATTTATGTTTATGCTTCACAAGGTGTTGGTTCCATGCTGGTGCTGCATACTCAAGTAATGGTCTTACATAGGCAGTGTGTATGGACTTTAAAGCCTCCTTGTTTAGATTCTTAAATGACATTCTTATGTTTGCTGACTTCCAATATGCTGCTGTCATCATCCTGGTCACATGAGCTTCTTGTGTTAGTGTTGGGATTATGTCTACTCCCAGGTATTTTTCCCTCATTGTTTCTTGTATTTGTCTTCCCCCTTATTTTGGTATAGTTATATACAAGTCTCTTGTTTCCACTACCCATTTTCATTACTTTGAACATATTTGGATTGAATTCCAACAGCCATATATCTGCCCACTCCTGAAGTCAGTTAAGGTCTCCTTGCAGCATCCTAGAGTCCTCTTCAGTTCTTACTCTCCTTATTAACTTTGCATTATCGGCAAACATTGACATGTACGAGCTCACTCTCTCTGCGAGATTATTTACATAAATTAAAAACAACACTGGCCCTAGGACAGAGCTTTGTGGAACACCACTTTCCACTCCTTTCCAGCCTGACATATCCTCTCTGACTATTACCTTTGTTTCCTGTCAGCCAAGTACTGTACCCAGTCCAGTGTCTTTCTTGTTATTCCCCGCTTGTCTCTTCATCTTCTATATTATTGTTTTATGAGGAACTGTATCAAAAGCTTTTTGGCAGTCTAAAAAGATGCAGTCTATCCATTCTTTCTTGTCTTGTCTAATTTTGGTGACTTATCATAGAATTCAACTAAGTTTGTTAAGCACGATTTTCCATCTCTGAAGAAGTTTTGTTCGTCTTATAAAATTTACTCTCTAAATGTTCTACAATCCTTTTTCTTATGATTTTTTCTAGAATCTTACATGGAATGCATGTTAATAACACCAGTCCATAGTTCACTATTTATGTTTGTCCCGTTCCCTGAATATTTGAGCTACATTTACCACATTTACCTCCTTCCAGTTTTCTGGTAGCTCTCCCATTTCCAGTGTAATGTTAAACACAATAGTTAATGGTAACACAAGCTCCCTGAACCTTTCTTCAGTATCTATGGTGATATCTGGTCTGGTCCTACTGCTTTTGTTACATCCAATTCCTCCATGTATTTTTTTTTTACCTCTTCTACAGTAACTTCAATTCTGTCTAGTGTCATTTCTGTTTGTCTGGTGTCAGCTCTATTTGGACACCAATCTGGTTCTGGTTTGAAGACCTCTTGGAACCTCTTGTTGAGTTCTTCGCATGCTTCTTTGTTATTCTCCAAGTGTGCTCCTCCTTGTCCATGAAATCTAACCATACGATCTCATACAGTGGTTTTCCTCCATAAATGTCTGTGCAGCAACAACTTAGGTTAGCTCTTTGCTTTTGCTGCAGTGTCATTCTCAAACTGGTATTCTGCTACCTCATGATTCTTGTGTACTCATTCCTGGCCCTCTTTAGTGCCTCCCAATTTGCCTCAATGCTACTATGTCCCTATGCTTTTTCTTGGCCTTTCCAGGTCTTCTCTTTTTCTTCTTTGCACCGTCTGTTGAACCACGGGTTTGTCATTCTTCTTTTGTCCACTTTCCATCTGAGAGGTATGTACTGTTTCGTTACTGCTTTGCATTCCAGTGTAACGAGCGTCATCATCTCTTTTCCTGACTTTCAGTCTCTCATTGAACCTTGTGCAAATAACCTCTAACCCTCCTGTAATCCCCTCTTCTGTATTCTCTCTAGCTCCTTGTCCTTTTCCCAACTCTCTCTTTCAGTTCAACAAACATGATAATACTTGTGGTCACTGGCTCCTAGTGGTACCTCATATTTTTAATTCTTTACATCTTCATTTTGGGTAAACACCAGTCTAGGGTAGCTGGTAGATTACCTCCTCTTTCTCTAGTCGGCTCCTTGATCTGCTGCCACCGGAAGTGTTTGTCTGTAGTATCCACAAATCTTGCTCTCCACCTATGAGAGTCCTTTGTTGGCCAGTCTATTTCCCTGTGGTTAAAATTCCCAAGTATTAAGATATTTGCTCTGGCTCTCCTTGCCATTGGCTGTTTTTTCTATTATCTTCAGACATGTTTCATTACATTTATCATATTCCTCCCTTGACCTTTCTGTAGTTAATGGACAGTTGTAAATAACACCTACCACTATCTTCATGGTCCTTGCTGTTATCATACCTAGTATAAAATCCTTCTAATCGATTACATCTGGGATCTCTATCTCCTCAAAGCTCCAATGTTGTTGTACCAGTAGGGCTACTACTCCCACCAACCCCATTTATCCTTTCTTTTCTTTCTACAGTACCTGTATCCTCTTGGGAATACTGTACTAGTATTATATCCTCTTTTATGTTTGTCAGTTTTGTCTCCATAACAGCAATGATATGGGGATGCAGTTCTGCCCTTGTTACTAATTCCCCTTCCCCAACCCCCATTGCCTTCACTATCTGGTAACTGAATCTCAAATCTTCACTCACTAAAATGTCTGATACAAGCTGATCCAGTGATTCTTTTTTGATGGCAACAACTTCTCAGTCTTCCCCATTCATATTACAAACTTTTAACACCTAACATACACATCAAGCTGGCTAGGTGTCCTGCCACAAATTCAGAACTCACTTCATAGAACTACACCACAGATAATTTCTAGCCTTGGAACACTACCTGTTTAATTATGCACACTATAAATGTCACCGACACAAGTGTCAACATACTTAGCTCGGGAAGATTGTCTAAAAAGAACATGCCCAAAATGTATTCATGGAGACGTGCTGTTTTGCCCTCTCGTTCCTCTCTGTACTGCTTCAAGTGCATACCGTGACACAGTTCATATGTCCAATACGACTCAATCTATACAAACAGAAAAAGAAACATGGACTACAGTATTATGTGACCAAGACTTTATCCAAAGTTATAACATTTATTATTTTAAGGGGAACAATCCTGGTCACATCTCATTATATTCCAATACAATTGGTGGTGGTGGTGTTGGTAGTGTTAGCGATGGTGATAGTAATGGTAGAGGTAGCAATGGTAGAGGTAGCAATGGTGATGGCAATAATAATGGTAGTAGTAGTGTTAATGTAACAGTAATGATAGTTAGTAATGATAATGTCTTCTCAAAGACATAATAACATAGGATAAAAACCCACACACCAATGGGGCCTCGACATACGATGCTAATCTGTTCTCAGAGATGGATCGTAAGTCGAAATATCATAAGTCAAAGCGATTTTCCCCATAAGAAATAAAGGGATTTGAATTAATCCGTTCCCCACCCTCCAAAATATTAACATACAAATACATTTTATACTGAATACAATGTTTTTTCTAACTACAATACAGTACCTAAGTTTATCTTACCTTTATGGAGGGCTCTTGATGGCATATGGAAGATGGTGATGAGGGGGGAGGAGTTGTTACTGTTTGGAAGGGGTGTCCCCTTCCATTATCACATCAGGCATTGATGTTTTCTCTGGGGTACTCTCTCTCCTACGTTTTGCCTGAATACCACTAGGACCTGGTTGTGGTTCAGTGCTTGTTTGTCTTACTACAAATTTGGCAAGAGACATTTGTTTTTCCCTTCGTTATAACATTTGTCTGTAATGATGCATCACAGTGTCATTGAATAGGTTAAGGCAATGACCTACTGCAGCTTGATTTGGGTGTGTCGTTTCAGCAAAGGTTTGCAATTCTTCCCATGCTGCACACATTTTCTTAATTGTTGAGGAAGAGACATTCTGTACTGGCACATCCTCCCCTGAAGAAATTTCCTCAGCTGTCAAATCGCCACTTGCATTACCACACAACACAAGAGTAAACTGATCTTTCATAGGCTTGTGTCCAGGCAATGACTTCTCCTCCTTGGTAATGTATGTTTTCTTTGGCAATCTTTTCCAGAATAGCCCTGCCTCGTCACAATTAAACACTTGCTGTGGTAGGTATGCCTCACTCTGCACAAAATCTTTAAATTCCCCAATGAATCTTTCAGCCGCTGGTTTGTCTGAGCAGGCAGTCTCCCCATGCCTCACAACATTATGAATTCCACTTCTTTTCCTAAATTTCTCAAACCATCCCCTGCTCGCCTTAAACTCTTTCACTTCTGCATCACTCGTTCCAGGGGTTTTCTTTAAAAGGTCTTCATGCAATTTTCTTGCCTTTTCACAAACGACGGCCTCTGAAACGCTATCACCCGCCAACTCCTTGTTGTGTATCCAAATTAATAATAACTGTTCAACATCCTCAAGTGTTTGTGTTCTATGTTTCGTGATTATTGATACGCCTTTTGCCACTTTAGCACTCATAATGTCCTTTTTCTTAGCCAGTATGGTGGATATCGTTGACTGAGATTTGTTGTACCGACTAGCCAGTTCAACAACCCGCACACTATCTTCATTTTTATAAATGATCTCTTGTGTGTATATCACGAAAATATACACGTGATTAAGAATGTGACAATGATCTCTTGTTTCTGCTCTATGGTCATTCTTACATCGGATCTCATATGTTGAGCCTTACCACTGACTTTCCTGGGACTCATGGTGTGATATATAATAATTACTTTAATGTTCAAAATGCAAAAGATCACCACAAACGCGTAATTTCCTATAGGCGTGGTCGTCACTAAGCGGGCAGCTGTAGTAAACCGAGGCAGGTTGGACCGCGTGACCGGGAACCATGCGCTCGGTTGACCCGAACGTGAACCAACAAATATCGGAAGTCGACAACACCATCGGATGTCGAGTCGCATTTTTCGATGAAATTTACATCGTAACTCAAAATTATCGTAAGTTATCCTGGATCCAGTCCTCTTGGATTTGAATGGAATGGAAAGAGGACTGGACCCAGGATAGCAGCCTCATTAGACATTCAGATGCAAGTCTTGTCCTAATCATACACTCGGACCTTGATAAAGCACTCAGAAGAGTGAGAAAGACTTGGGTGTAAATCCCTTTACCACCAGTGTAAAGAGGTGATATGATCACTACATACAAAATAGTAACGGGAATCGATAAAATTGATAGGAAAGAATTCCCGAGACTTGGAACTTCAAGAACAAGAGGTCATAGCTTTAAACCAACTAAACAGAGCTGCAGAAGAAATTTAAGAAAATTCACTTTCAAACACAAAGTGGTAGACGGTTGGAACAAGTTAGGTGAGAAGGTGGTGGAGGCCACAACGGTCAATAGTTTCAAAGCGTTATATGACAGAGTGCTGGGAAGACGGCACCCCACGAGCATAGGTCTCATCCTGTAACTACACTTAGGTAATTACATCATTGACCCATATAACACTACCACTCCTGATGTAATTTTCTGTGTGATTGCTGACTGGATACCTTGTTGGTATCTGTGTATCAGTCATAAGTTGTGGCCACATTAAACACATTTGGTGAATCAAATCAAATAAAACTATTTTGTCCTATGGTTGCAAACTTAATGAACACCCTATATAATTCAATGAAAACTATAGGCTAACTCCTTTTGGGTATACCTATAATAATATTTCAAAAGAACATAGATTGCCAAAAGTGTTAAATATTCGTTCAAACAGTGTGCATTACTCACCCGCAAAACACATGATTGTTTCCTAAAGAGTGGCAGCAGCAGAGTTAAGGCATTGGGGCCAGCATACACTTCAGAATCCTCCTGTAAATAGAGAGTCCTCAGAATTTTCCAACTTAAATAAAGCCAAATAAAGAAAATGCAACTCTCGCTTTTTAGGTAAAATTTGTCAACAAGGCCAAGTTGTCATTGATAATTTTACCAAATAGCCATACATTTTTATTTTGGCTGTAACTGCAACAACTCAAAATGTTCTACATGTTAATAATGGCTTTCCAAATATGTACCAATTAATCACAAATTTCTATGCGAGTTAAAACAGAGAAATTTGTTCAAACCTAACGTAACATACCTAAGTCACTAAATCATGTTCTTAATATAATATTTATTGGAATAAACCAATTTTGAAAGATACATTTGAAAATAATGAAAATCACTTTGCCTGTCAGGCAAATTGGGCCTTGCATACTAGGGCCAAGTAGTGCAGTTCTGGGTACTGTATTAGGTATGACACACATTATATTATATATATATGTGTGTGTGTGTCTCATACCTAGTAGCCAGAACGCACTTCTCGGCCTACTATGCAAGGCCCGGTTTGCCTAATAGGCCGAGTGATTTTCCTTATTTTCAAGAAGGAAAATGCGAACAAGAAGTTCCTGTAAAAAAAGAAAAAGAAGTTCCTGTAAAATAGTCTAATAGGGGGTACAGGTGTTGTGTTAGTTGACTCTTCAGAGGTTGCATGACGTTTCACCTTCCTTTTTATGATGTCTTCGATGAAACCATTGGAGAAGCCGTTGACTAGGACCTGCCTTACCCTACAGAGCTCTTCATCGACTTGCTTCCATCCTGAACTGTGGCTGAGAGCACGGTCGACGTAAGCGTTGACAACACTCCTCTTGTACCTGTCTGGGCAGTCACTTTTGGCATTGAGGCACATTCCTATGTTTGTTTCCTTAGTGTAGACTGCAGTGTGGAAACCTCCACTCCTTTCCATGACTGTTACATCTAGAAAGGGCAGCTTCCCATCCTTCTCCATCTCGTAAGTGAAACTCAACACAGAATTCTGCTCGAATGCCTCCTTCAGCTCCTGCAGATGTCTAACATCAGGTACCTGTGTAAAAATGTCGTCAACATACCTGCAGTATATGGCCGGTTTCAAGTTCATGTCAACTAAGACCAACGTTCGATAGTACCCATGTAGAAGTTCGCAAACAGGACACCTAGGGGAGAACCCATGGCAACCCTATCTACTTGCTTATACATGTGCCCATCAGGGCTCAAGAAGGGTGCCTCTTTAGAACAAGCTTGGAGTAGTTTCCTTAGAATGTTTTCTGGTATGTCAAGAGGAGTACAGACCAGATCACGATACACTCTGTCCGCTATCATCCCGATTGTTTCATCCACAGTTACGTTGGTAAACAGTGATTCTACGTCCAACGAAGCTCTTATACCTGTGGCCCATGTTCCCCGCAGTAAGTCAACAAATTCCTTTGGAGACTTCAGGCTGAAGGCACAAGGTACATAAGGAGTCAGCAAGCCGTTGAGTCGCTTTGCCAGTCTGTACGTGAGTGTGGGTATCTGGCTGATGATTGGCCGAAGTGGGTTTCCAGGCTTGTGTGTCTTGACATTTCCATACGCCTACCCAGGTTTGTATTCCCCAATAATCTTTGGCAGGTGGAGTCCGGATTTCTTGGCGTTCACAGTTTCGATCAATCTGTTTACCTTTGTTTTCAATACGGCTGTAGTGTCCTTCAATACCCTTTGGAATTTAGTTTGGTCAGAGAGTATGAGGTTCATTTTTGCCAGATATTCGTCTTTTTTAAGAATACAGGACGCCTTAACCACTGCACTGCGCAAAGCGCCTTTAGGCGCTCAGAGAGTTGTGCTTTTTGTTTTTTAATTTGGCTATATTTTCATGTTTTTTAATGTTTTCATTACTATTTGTGTTTTGAAATGGAAATAGTTGACTTTGGAAACATTTTGACATTAAATTTACCTGAACATTTGTAAAAATAATAAAAATATGTCCTTGTCAATTGCACCAAGACGTTTTTGCCGAAAATAGGTGAGCAGTGCAAGGGTTAATCCAGTTGATGGTCAAGTGGATTAAGGCGTCCTGTACATACCAGTTGTGTTGCTCCTGGCAGTTTGGGTTCGAGTCACTTCTTAGGGTGTGAGTTTTCAGTTGCATATAGTCCTAGGGACCATTCAGGCTTGTTCGCATTTGTGTTCCTCACATGTGCCCCAAAGAATGAGGTGATTTGATAAAATGCTTTGCCCAAGATTACCATCCGGGTGCTGGCAGGAAGGGGGGGGTTCAAATACCTTCGGCTATCACCTCCTTATGTCCGGTCGTGATGGTCCAGAGGATTAGGGCGTCCTGTACATACCAGTTGCGTTGCTTCTGGCAGTATGGGTTTGAGTCACTTCTTGGGGTGTGAGTTTTCAGTTGCATATAGTCTTGGGGACCATTCAGGCTGGTTCATTTATATATATATATATATATATATATATGTCGTACCTAGTAGCCAGAACGCACTTCTCGGCCTACTATGCAAGGCCCGATTTGCCTAATAAGCCAAGTTTTCCTGAATTAATATATTATCTCTATTTTTTTTCTTATGAAATGATAAAGCTACCCATTTCATTATGTATAAGGTCAATTTTTTTTTATTGGAGTTAAAATTAACGTAGATATATGACCGAACCTAACCAACCCTACCTAACCTAACCTAACCTATCTTAATACGTTAGGTTAGGTTAGGTAGCCGAAAAAGTTAGGTTAGGTTAGGTAGGTTAGGTTGTCGAAAAACAATTAATTCATGAAAACTTGGCTTATTAGGCAAATTGGGCCTTGCATAGTAGGCTGAGAAGTGCGTTCTGGCTACTAGGTACGACATATATATATATATATATATATATATATATATATATATATATATATATATATATATATATATATATATATATAATACAGTAATAATATACATATACATAATAATATACATATACATAATAATATACATATACAGTAATAATAATAATAATATATATAATAATATAATATATTATATATTATACATATATATATATATACATATACATATATATATATATATATATATATATATATATATATATATATATATATATATATATATATATATATATTTTTTTTTTTTTTTTTTTTTTTTTTTTTTTTTTTTTTTTTTGCTACTTTATACTAATAAAGTTTGCTACTTTATACTAATCATTATTATGCTGTTATTAATGAAAATATTGTACTATGATTTTATGCAAATTTTATTAAAAATATTGCTGTGAAACAAACTTTTTAATATTTTCTGGATTTTTTTTTAATTTTAGCACTAAAATCCAGTCTAGTAAATACATGGGAGTGTTCCACATACTGTAATTCCATTTGAGACTGGAAGCTGATTGAACATTTATAGAGCAGTACTGGACAATACTTACATTTTTATTGCCATAGCTAATGGGCACAAGGCACTGGTACTGCTCATTATTGGCACTCATCATGACCAACTTCTCATAATCAGGTGACTCCTGCCAGAAAAAAAAGATGCATCAAGAAAACCTGCATCTTTACAAATATTTGAAAGCAAACCATACCAAGAAAAGAAACATTCAAATGTTTAAGTAAAAGGAAACATTATTAATAAAACAGAAAAGGCAGACAGGATAGGTGTAGTAAAATGAGTTTTAGGGAAAAGATAGATTTCTATCTTGAGGTTATCTTGAGATGATTTCGGGGCTTTTTAGTATCCCTGCGGCCCGGTCCTCGACCAGGCCTCCACCCCCAGGAAGCAGTCCGTGACAGCTGACTAACACCCAGGTACCTATTTTACTGCTAGGTAACAGGGGCATAGGGTGAAAGAAACTCTGCCCATTGTTTCTCGCCGGCGCCTGGGATCGAACCCAGGACCACAGGATCACAAGTCCCGCGTGCTGTCCGCTCGGCCGACCGGCTCCCCTTGTTCAGCAGGGGGTCCCCTTGTGTCCCCTTGAACAACAGATGTTCTTGCGGTGTTTGACACCCAAATACAGTATACAGTACAGTACTCTGATGACTCTTCACAACCTTTTTAATTATATTTTTTGTATTACAAGTTTGCATGCTGACAACTTCCACATGTTTTGTATTTTATTATGCACCGTTTTGGTGGCTGGAACATGACAAGTATTTAATGTTCATGTAGATATTTTATTGAGAAGACTACAAAATGGTGGACATTTTGAGGTCTCTGGAACTTAACTTTAATAACAATGTAATTATTTGTATAATTCATTTTCTTGGGGGCAAGCAGCCAGTGTATATATACATGTTAGGCTTATATCAAGGTCCCTCCAACTCAAGGTCGAATTATTGATTCGTCAGGATGCAACCCCACAACAAGCTGACTAACTTCTGGCTACCTATTTACTGCTAGGTGAACAGCACATTAGGTGATAGGAAACGTGCCCAATTATTTCTGTCCTGCCCAGAATTCAGACCCAGAATTCGGAGTCTAGAGCGAACTTGAATGTACTACCACAGTAAGATCAAATTGTTTTGTACAAGTTTTTCTAGGAATGTAACCCTCACACAGACTGAGGGCCGACCATATTGCCTCACTCTGCAGACTGGGCCAGGTCTGGGATCACCTGGAAAACAGGAAAGCAGAAAGGCATTGGACTCACCAGGAGGCTGCTGTCGGCGCCTGGCCATTGGAGTCGAAACAATATGGCATCATCCAGGCCTTTAATTTGGTTGGCTGCGAGGACAATGAGCGGAGATGTGAAGGCCACGAGGAATGCGAGGATGGCCATAGCTGAGGGGTGTCAGCTGGGCCAGGAGAGTATCAGCGTGGCCAGGATAATGTCAGGTGGACAAAATTAAGTGTCAGTCAGGCCACGAGTGCATCAGCTAAGCCAAGAATGAATATCACGTGTGCGTACGCGACCACAAATGTGCATCAATAAGATCATGAAATTATCAGCTACGGCGTCAACAGGTCCGGGAAAAGTTCGCCGTGGTACTAAGGTGTCAGGAACGAAAGTGTCAGGTAGGGCGTCAGCAAAGATAAGACTGTGTCACTTTTGGTGTCAGTGCTGCGAAGAGAATGACAGCATGGCAGGGAGTGTGTCAGGTTTGTCAGCAGGATATCAGTGAGGTCCGGAGAGTGTACGCCAGGAGTGTCAGCGAGGCCAGGCCAAGCCAGCAGCTGATTTTTGTTTACCATCTCTCATATGTTGACACGACACCAATGACGTTGCGAGGGGGCGGAGCCTCCTTATGCCCGCCAAATTCAAAAGTCAAAATTACTCATGGAAGATGAAATACTGGTACAGCATAGGCCTACTATTGTTGGGGGCAGGACACTTGGTAGGCTTAGTGATGTTACTGGTCTTAAGAACCAAGGAGTTAAGATCCACCAGTTACTGACTGTTTTTTTTTTAATCACCATCTAACTCATATCTTGAAACTCTATCATCATTACCTAGCTTCAAAACCTTATATTTGTCAGCATTAAACTGCATCTCCAAACCTTTGACCACTTCAAACCCCTATTTAGATCATTTTGAAGTAATAGTGAGTCTTTTTTCGTGTTTATTAATCCTCCTGATTTTTGTATCATTGACAAATTTGAAAATATTGCTGCTCAAACCTGAACCTAAATCATTTATATATATTATGAGTAACAGAGGTCCCAGGACAGAGCCTTGAGGCACTCCACTTACAATCTAAAAACTCATTTGCTGTGTTATTAGCAATACTAGCAAACAGACTTAACAAAAAGCAACTAATAATTTCGGGGAATTTTAAGATTGACTTCTGCGAGCATGATAACCCTAAAGCTGCTAGTTTCCTCAACTGTATGAATTCCTGCTTGCTCATACCCTTAATCACTAAACCTACTAGAATCACTGATATGACTGCCTCTATTCTTACAAATACAAAATACAAATACAAATACAAATATTTATTCAGGTAAAGTACAGACATACAAGGTGAAATACAAAAGTTGATGGATTTATAGATAGAGCTAGTACATACAATGCCTAAAGCCACTATTACGCAAAGCGTTTCGGGCAGGAAAAACACTAAGACTAAAACTTAATACTAACTTAGATTAAACTATAAATTGTGTTGCGAAAAAATCAATCAGCATGTGGGGAATTAGTTTAGAGAACCGCAGCAGTAGTGTGGAGGAAGAGGGTATTGTGGTACAAAATAACAGCAATATTGCAGAGCCAGATAATATAAACGATGAGAGCAACAGTGAGACAGAGTGCATAAATGAAGGAATTGGGACGAAAAACGGAGATGGCTCCAATAAAGAGGTAGACAAGACAGACACAGATATAAATACCTTGAAAAACGCACAACCGGAACACATTTGCAAATTCTACGCTAAAGGAATATGCAAATATGGAAAATTAGGAGCAAAATGCCATTTTCTGCATCCTCGAAAATGTAGGAACATGTTGGAGAGGGGTGCATGCCGATTTGGAACAGGGTGTAGATACTTCCACCCTAAATTGGAAGTTTTGTTTGTTTTGTATAGTATTGTTTATAAATTTTTCCCCCTTTTATAGCTTAATTCTACTTTGTAATTTGCCTTTCTTGCCTTGTTTTCCTGCAACCAGCTTATTATGCAGACAAGTATAGACCCAGAACTAAACCTCTTATCCACTATCTATGACAATCATCACTTTAATGATCTAAATTGTAGATATTTTACAGCACATGATGTAAACAATGTATTAACTCATAATCACAATATCTCTGTAATCAACTTGAACGTTAGATCCCTAGGTAAACACTTCGATGATGTTAGTGCCTTGATTGAAACTATTGCCAACAAATTCTCTTTTATTATACTTACTGAAACATGGTTGAAAGAGGATACTACTCAACTCTTTAACATGCCTAACTACTCGGCAATTCACAACTGTCGTCAACTTCAGAGAGGTGGTGGCACTGCTCTTTACTACCACCAAGAACTAGCATGCTTAAAAGAAATTAGAACTAGAGACAGCTATGGGGAGTATATCTTCGCCAGCTTCAGAGTCAAGGGTGCCAAGTCTGTCCTGTCTGTGGGTGCAGTTTATAGAATTCCTAACACTGATGTGTCCGAATTGAACTCAAACCTTAGAAATCTAATACTTGATAACAGACTGAACAAAAACCACCTAATTATCGCAGGGGACTTTAATATTGACCTCTGCGAGCCAGAACACCCTACTGCTGTTAGCTTCCTCAACTGTATGAATTCCTGCTTCCTCGTACCCTTAATCACTAGACCTACTAGAATCACTGATAGTACTGCCACGACTCTAGATCACATCTGGACCAACATAACCTCTCCGCTTACTTCAGGTATAATCACCGATAGCACTACAGACCATTACCCCACATTTCTCTTAACTAACATTAGCAAACCACCTCTAGAGTCAAGGGAGTTAAGTTTTAGGCTGCACAATGAAACTGCTATAGACAATTTTATAACTGCTGCTGATAATGTCAAATGGGAGTCCGAGTTAGGTAACATAGGGGACATCAACCTAGCAGTGCAATCTTTTCTACAAACAACTCTTAGCCTTTATAACACCCACTGTCCTATGCTTACAAAACAAGTCACAACCAAAAGACTTAACAATCCCTGGCTTACAAAGGGAATACTTAAATCCATTAATAAAAAACATGACCTTGAGAAGAAGTATAGGTTAGGAATTGTCTCCAAAGAATTCTCAAAGAATTACTCATTATTGCTATCTAAGATAATTAGACGAGCCAAAACTAAATACTACGAAGATCAATTTACCCAAATAAAGAGCAACATTAAAAAAACTTGGAGCACAATTTCACAAATATTGGGATCAAAGAAGACTTTAAATAACAAACCAACACTCCTGTCCAATAACGATGGTCAGCTTTCAGCCTCAGATTCTGCTATTGAGTTTAATAGGTTCTTCTCTTCCATTGGTTCATCCCTTGCAAATGATATTCCATCTTCCAGTACTGACGTTAAGGACTATCTTACAGGTAACTATCCAGTCTCTGTACCTAAAGCCTATTAATTCCACTGACGTCAATGAGATAATCCTTTCCCTTAAAACCAAGTCTGGTGCCCTTGAGGAGATACCAACTTTAATTAACAAAAAAGCCTCCAGATCTTTAGCCCCTGCTATTGCATTGCTCTTCAACAAGTCACTTGAACTCCAAACCTTTCCAGATATTCTAAAAAAAGCGAGAGTAACGCCTGTCCACAAATGTGGTGATCTCACAGATGTTAACAACTACAGACCTATATCAATCCTGCCAAACTTGTCAAAAATTTTTGAAAAACTAATCTATAAGCAGCTTTACTCTTATCTAGCCAAACACAATATACTTAACCCTTGCCAATATGGCTTCAGACCCAAAAAAAGCACTAACGATGCACTTATTAGTATGCTTAACTCGATTCATACAGCTCTTGATAAAAAGGAGTTCCCTGTTGGGTTATTTGTGGACCTGCGTAAGGCTTTTGACACTGTCAACCACCAAAACCTTCTTCTTAAATTACATCATTATGGAGTCAGAGGACACTCCCTGCAATACCTCAAATCCTACCTTACTGACAGGCTCCAGTATGTTTCTGTGAATAATTCAATTTCTCCCACCCTACCCATCAACATTGGTGTTCCTCAGGGCAGCATACTTGGCCCTCTCCTCTTTCTCATCTACATTAATGACCTTCCAAATGCCTCCCAACACCTCAAACCAATTCTATTTGCTGACGACACAACCTTCATTTACTCCAGTCCTGACCCCCTTGCTCTAAATGCCACAGTAAATACTGAGCTAAATAAAGTCCATCTGTGGCTAACTGCCAACAAACTCACCCTTAACATTGACAAAACTTTCTATATTCTGTTTGGCAATAAATCCTCTAATCAAATAAATCTCAAAATAAACAATACCCAAATTTGTAACAAATTAGATGGCAAATTCCTTGGCATTCTCATTGACCACAAGGTGAATTTTCAGGGAAATATAAATATATTTAAATATATTTATATTTTTATAATATATCTAAATATATCAAAAAAAGTTTCAAAAACTGTTGGCATTCTTTCTAAGATCAGATATTATGTACCCCGCCCTGCCCTGGTACATTCTCTATCATTCTCTATTATCTCTATTATCCCTCATCTATCCATATCTCAACTATGGTATTTGTGCTTGGGGTTCTACTACCCAAAATCATTTACGTCCTCTAATTACTCAACACAAAGGTGCTATTAGGACAATATCCAACTCTGGCCCCAGACATCACTCGGTACCCCTACTCAAATCTCTGAATATGTTAGACATTAAGTCACTGCACATTCTCTCATGTGTATTATACATATATAAAACGCTAAACTGTAATGCCAATCCTGACCTCAAAAGCTTCATTGAAGGTTGTAACAGAACCCATGAGCACCACACCAGAAATAAATAGTTTTGATATTCCTAGAGTACGACTTAATCAAACTAGAAATGCTCTACAAATCAAGGGACCCAGATTGTGGAATGACCTTCCCAACCATGTTAACTAAAGACTGTACCTTTCTCAACCAGTTTAAGATAAAATCGAAGCTATACCTAATAAATTCCCTGTAACCTACCTTACCCCTCTATTGTCAACCAATGTCTGTTTTTTTTAAAAGAGCGCTGTTTGTCGACAGAATTGTATTTGTGCTGCTTTTTCAGCTATGTTTTCATTCCATATTTTCATTTTACTCTTTATGCTCAATTAGTATTAAGCTTTAGTCATTTAAGTTTTTCATGCCCGAAACGCTCTGCGTAATAGTGGCTTTAGGCATTGTATGTACTAGCTCTATTTATAAATCCATCATTCTTTGTAAAATCTCTTGTATGTATGTACCTTACCTAAATAAACATGTGATTTGATTTGAAATTATGTCAATTTTCAATTAGGGACAAAAATGCTACAATCTTCAGTGTCCGGAATTCCACGTGAGAGGTACACAGAGTTATGGACGGGAAGATCAATATGACACTACTGGAAATTTTTTAGAGGAAGGCAGAAACAGAGTAGTAATTATAAGAGAGAGGAACAGTCAGATGGAACCACTACAGGATTACAGAGGGGAAGGGAGATACCCACAAGACTGGAATACAAATTATCAACAAGCACACAGGTGCTACACCACACAACACCCGTCCTACTACCAAAACTGGACGAATCACTTCTAAAA